ATGCTAATATCCATAGTGTTTAGTTAAGCAGTAGCTTGATACATTATACCTTCTTTCATAGTGTGTTTTTTGATTATATTTTATATATTATATATATATATATATATATATATATATATATATATATATATATATATATATATATACACACACAGTTCATAGACTAATGGATAAAACAAGCATTTATTTTACACAACAAATTTTTTTCAACATCTTTGTCAATACAACCATATATATGAAATGAATAATAGGTCAATTATTATAAACTGAATATAATCAAAATTCAACTAATAAGAATTTGTTAGCCTTACTGATCCACCCTGCATTCGAAAGTCAAGTGTTATCACTTGTTCTCATGCAGCAAAAAATTCCATTATTTGAATTTTCTCCACTTTACCATTTTATTTCCTTTTCTTCAAGCATTTAGGTAACTTCCTTACAGACTTGAGCTTCTCCAATCAAGATTAAATTGGAGAAATCTTCAATGACTATCAGTTCTTTGAATGAAGTATTCAAGAAACGAATTGATGATTTACTGCCAACATAGAATATTTTGACTGAATAAATGAACTTTTTTCCCCCCCTTTTGATTTGGCTTAAATGAGTGGGGTTTTATATCGAACAACTTATACTATCAAAAGAATAGATAATTTGGAGATACCGCTCTGCCAATTTGCCCCTGAGATGACCCCCATCAAGCTGGTGAACTCAGCTAAATTCTTGGCACATTCCTCAACAATGACTCCTTAGATTATTCAGCTTATTGGAAAGGGGACCTTAGCTAACTTCTCAGAAGTTGTTTCAGTCACAATTTTTCTCATTGTAATCAGTATGACGTGAGGAAGATCTTAAACATTTACTTTGTGCACACAAGAATGACATATGATAAAAATCTAACACAACAAGGATCAAACTCAAAAACAGTTGTTGGTGAGAGAAGCACATTATACTATAACCTTTATATTAAATCCACATATGCTTGATGGACTTTCTGTATCTGAATTACAAAAATATTTATATACACACACATATTATATATCTCCAAATGAGAGAAAGAACAGATGAAGTAAAATTTTGCTCTTTGTAGAATTTACTTTTTAAAAAGAAGTGCTCAATACAAAGTAGAGCAATATATTATTATTATTATTATGCACACACACACACACACACACAAAAACACAGAGGGTATAACAGCAAAATTGTCCAATTGTTAGATTAAGCTTTGAACCATTGTATCTTAGAAATGACTAAAGATATCTTACTGGAATTCTCCAAAGTTTTTATAACACTACTGGACTCTGAGCAATAAGAAAGTATAATTACTCTCCAATCTTAACAGAAGAAACATGATGAAATCGATCATAAATGAAAATGAGATGGTCATCATTAATTAGTCATAGCTAATTAATGATGAACATCTCATTTTCAATAACTAAGACATCCAGAAGAGACATGGCACGTGGAACTAGAACAATCTACCCAGGTGGATGAAAAAGGGTTCAGTTCAAAATTTCAATCACTTGAAGAAGGCTGGAGCATACAGCGGCCAAAACATTGTAAATAATGCAAGTACTTTTTGTCTGTATACGATTTTTCAGATGCATATACAAACATTTGAGGTTATTATCTTAAATGAAGAATAAACAGATACAAACTTTTATTAATTATTGTAATTTTTTTTTTTTATTTAATTAAGAAAACATATTGTTCTTTATATAAAAAAAAAAAAAAAAACTTTTTTTTTTTTTTTTTTTACACACAACAGCTTCGTCCAATAAATCTAAAACTCAAGGATCAATCTGGCAATGTATCAATATTATAAGGACCCTCCCTTAAATGAATACAAAAACATTATTTTCTCAATTCTGACAAACGTCGCCAGCAAAGAAAGGGCTAAAGAAGGCTAATCTATATTTCCAAAAAGATTTTTTTTAAGATAAAATAACTTCTTAAATATATTTGGTCCATTTTTACAAAATGGACCAATATATTCAAGTAGTTCCATAATATTGAATATGCCAAAAAAAAAAAATATAAAGAAATAAAACCATGAGAAAAAAAAATGTCAAAGTTCCAATAGAATGGCTAACTCTTTCCCAGAAAATTTCTTGTCATCAATAAACATTTATTTTCTGAGAAAACAATTGACACAAATTTCTCTGTATACAGGATATTGACGGTATTTAAGATTCAAATACATGTTCAAAGAGATGATTCACATGTCAGATGGTGAGAAAACCAGTGTGGTCTATAAACTTGCCTTCATATACATTTTTGTTGCATCATCACAAGCCTATTGCAATTTATTTACGTAAACGACTGAATAATTTACGTAAACTGCTTGCAGAATTTTTTTTTTGTTCATCCCAAGTTGAAAAAAAAAAAAGAATTATCAAAAACAGAGCCAATAAAATAGAGGCCAGTTAAAGACATCAATGGTAATGCCAGTCTGTAGACTTTAGCAAATTAAACCCAGAAGATAGTGTATCAGATTTCAAATGCCAATTTCCACCCACAGAGGCAAAACTCTTGCATATTCTTATCACAAAAGGTGTGAGCATCAGAAGCAGCATCCACAAAGAGCATTAATACAGTTATTTCTGCTGAAAGAATTTTTAAAATATACGGTCATCCAGTTTTAACATAGTTCCAACAGCTACTATCATTTACCATAAAAGAAAATGGTTTCAGTTATGCAACTTCTCATTAGAATTTCAAAGTCACCAATTAGGTCAATTTTAAGAATGAGACTTGACAGTTTTTGTCAAAGAGATAATATAAATTCAAACAAAAATGTCATATCTTTTACAGGAAAAAAAAAAGAAGAATTTCAGTAAAGTTTAATTTAAGAACCAGCAAAACAATAAAATAAAAACACAATATGTTAAAAGGACAGCTTTCCTCTTGACATTGCTATTAATCTATACTCTGTACTTTTTATTGTTTTAAAAAGGTTTTTCGCTATTTTTAATAAAACCTAACTTGCTGTAGCTCCAACTCTCTGTAACCCCTTGCATGCTGGTGGCTTCCTGCCTTGCTTGGGGTGAAAAAAAAAGAAAAAAAAAAGAAAAAAAAGAAGAAAAAAAAAAGAAAAAAAGAAGAAAAAAAAAGAAAAAAAAAAAGAAAAAAAAAAAGAAAAAAAAAAAGAAAAAAAAAAAAAAAAGAAAAAAAAAAGCCTCTAAATTCATGAGTTTTTTTTAATGTTTTTTTTTTTTTACTTGATAATAAGCAACAAAAAAGTTAAACACTACTTATATGTCCATTTTTATCCCCATGATTATTGATATATAATCTGTAATTAACCATAAATATATGAAAAATGAATTTTTGGCTTCTCCGGTGGGGGGGGGGGGTTACAAAAAAAACTTTTCACTGTAATTCTTATATTTCGGAAAGTATTTTTAGATAGAATTTTAATAAAATCAAATGAAACTGAATGTATACATTTTTGCTCGCTGTAATTAAACCTACCTTAGATTACCGTCTTTTCCAGCTTTCAAGACACTGCGACGCACACTAATATTGGAAAGAAATTTCTAAGAAAAAAAAAAAAAAAAAAAGCTCATTCTCATACAACAACACATTCACCATGTGTCAGTCACATTCTGGCTCCATGTATTGTTTACATTAATTGCTCGTCCAATTTTGTTTGTATGGCAATGACACACTAGTCAATAGCAGAAAGGCTCCTATCGCTGTTAATAAACAGAGTCTGTTTAAGCTTGTGACTCGGCTCCAGGAAGGTTTATATTCTTGAAAATACTTGTAATAGTTATGTACTGAGGTTACATCATATAAAAGGATGAATTAGATAGCTAACATTATAGTGTAATGATTCAACATACAAATCCACATCTCTTTCAGGGAAACCAATTAGATGATCGTCCAAGCTTATTTGAGCCTGGATGTTGACTCACATTTGTCTTGGAAAACGCACACGGATTTTTCAGGGCCATTTTTTTTTTTTAAGGAAAAAAAGTGTGTCTAGTAAGACAGGAAATACAGCACTTCTTATTTTAATTTTCCGGGGGGGGGGGTCATTTGCTATTCAGATTCATATATTATGATTTTATAAAAATTCTAGAAATAACTTTTTAAAACAATAAAATATATAAAAGGAGAATACAGTTATAATGGTGCAAGTGAGAAAAAAATAAAATGAAAGCACTCAACACCCATTTTTTTGGGTTTGATTTTTTTTTTTGTTTATCTGGTTCTCAGTTAAACTTGACCAAATTTCTACAAAGTTATCATGATTTATATTTCTGAGAATTTTTTTTCTTTGGTATATAAAGGAAAATGAAAGATATTTTGAAGATCAGTTGGAGAGGGGCACAGAAGTGGTGGGGGAGTGAATGGATCTCTTTGCCATTTGTGAAAATTATTCAAAATAAAATAAAATAAATAAATAAAATAAAATAAAAATCCATGCATTTGGAAATATTTCGAATTCAGAAGATTTATCAAAATTAACACAAAAATGCAAGAGAAGTAACTTTCTAATGTGCAAAACTACATGAGCATGTGAAGGATTGGATCAACTGCAATTTTTTTTATCCAAATACTAAATCCTCCAATCCTTACCCATGTCATTTAGACAAAGAAACTAATTAACACCTTTCTTGAAATAAACTTCTTATATGTGCTCTTGATTTTACACTTTACTCTCAAAAGAATAGACAGGTTCACCTATTGTCCGCTTCACACTCTTTCTCCCTCTTTTGAACAGGAGTAGAGGTTTATCCCTTGTTTCCAATACTTTCTTCTGGTCTTCTACTTTTTCAGAAGAGTTGCAGGAGATTTCAAAGTCATCTGGAGACTGTGATTGAAGCTAATGGCAATTTTTATTGAATTTAGTATTTCAAGATATTTTTGTGTAATTTTGGTAAATATATCTGTTAAAATGAGATGTCAGTGTTATTTTCCTTTTTGCATAATTTGGACGACAATAATCACGCACCCTGTATGTGGCTACAGAACAACAATTATAAATATTTTACCTTTGTGTAGTGGACACAGCCTGACCCTCACCACCACTGGTGTAAGTGACATACGATCGCCTGTGCTGCACAGATCGGATGATGTCTCACATGACCGAAGATTTGTGTAGCAACCTCAGTAGACACCATAAAAGCCAGCATTTGTTAACACCAGGGAATTGCTTGAAGGGGTGTCATCAGTGCAACATGAACTAAGGAAAAGAATTACAATAACTCATCTACAAGCTATTTCGGCAATATTACACACTATATCGGAGGGAAACTTTGATATCCAAATTATATTTGACAGCTGTGTCCAGGCCAAACGTGGTCAAAGGACAGAAACAGAAGAACTCGTTTGCCAGATGTGCAAGGTGAAGCAGACAGAACATGTTATCCCTTTTAAGACTGCCTGGTGGGGCTTCTGCTGTCTATCAGCAATTAAGTCAAAAGGAAAAAGTAAACAAAAAAAATCAGCCTTTGATACAATTTTCGCAGTGGATGGGTTTGTCATGTATGGGCAATTTTCTGAGCAGCACCTTCAACCAGGGATATCCGTTGATGTGTACTTGGCAGAACTAAGCAAACTAGCCATATGGTTAGGGGTATCAGTGACCATGGCTTGGCATGCACTTATGTCAATAGGTTGCCAAATTGTGTGAAATGGCTCCTTTGCACTTCTTGGATAGAGGTATTGACCATCAAATAGATGCTCACTTGCGCTCAAGTGATAATGAATGACAAGAACCCAGACAATGCCTCTGGTCGTAACAACAGCATGAGAGATACATCAAAGGACTATACAACCATTTCTTAGGGATTCTAATGACATTTGTCATCAATGCAATGGTCTTAATCACTATTTACATTATTCGAGGAAAGTTGGCTCTCTGTGCTGCGCCAGGAAATTTTTCTCCCCAGAATCGATACTTCAAATATACAAATCAACCATTCACCCTTGCATGGAGTATTGCTGCCATATATGGTCTGAGGCACCTTCTGCTTACCTCGGAGTTCTTGACAAGATCCAGAGACGGATATGTAATATAATTGGCCCTGATCTGGCGTCTCGTCTACAGTCACTCTCTCACAGACGCGCTGTCACCTCTCTCTGTCTTTTCTGCAAATACTTTCATGATAATTGCTTCGATGAGCTGCTTTCACTGGTCCCCAGACTCCATGAATTCAAGTGCCCTATGAGGCTGGCATCCCACTCCCACCCTTACACTGTAGAAACTTTTAAATGTAGCCGTCTCTTCTACTCCAATAGCTTCATATCTTGCACCTCTCGCCTGTGGAACACCCTTCCCAATTACTGTTTCCCTGAGAGCTATACTCTCCAACTATTCAAATGTAATGTCAATCGACACCTCCAGTTACCTTGATCTATCCACTATCCTTCTCCTCATCCTTTCTTCTATCTCTCCTATCTGCTCTCGCTCCAAATCTTCTGCAACCCCCTGCATCCTAGTGGCTTCATGCCTTGATTGGGGCGTTTAAAAAAAAAAAAAAAAAAAAAATCGGACTATTCTCCTCATCTTTGTCACCATACTTATCACAATGTTTTGGCCGTTGTACTCTCCAGCCTTCTTCAGATGGTTGGAATGTCGAACTGAACCCTTTATTTCGCTCGCTGGGGTAGACTGTTCTCGTTCCACATGCCATGTCTAATGGATGTCAGTTATCTGTTATCTCCTGTTAATTCCCCTCTCCAAGTTTTCCACCGCCTTAACCAGGTTAAGGCATTAGTTAGATCCAGTGACAGGACCCAAAGAGTGTGAGTTGAATACCTGGTTAAGGCAGTGGAGAACTTGCAGATAAAAATTTATAAGATTAAGAAGAGAAAGAATTAAAGAAAAACTTGACAGATTTGTTACATTAAATACATTTATTCTTTGAAATTTGAGTTTACACTGGAAAAAAAAATTATTATTTACATTTTGACTAATGTCTGCATCTTTGGTGTTATTATAATCATCCCAATGTTTTGGCCATTGTGCTCTCCAGCCATCTTCAGTTGCCTGTCAATCCATGTAACCTTCAGGAGATTTTGAAATAAACCCTTTATTTAATCTACAGAGGAAGATTGTTCTCATTGTGCTGCCTATATCTAGGGATATCTCATCTCGTTCTTATTTAGTACTGCTCAGTTATGGCTATCTGCTGCTTCAACAGAGTTTAAATCTGCACTACCTAGCCCAGGGATGGAACTCACAATTAATATAATACCTAATTCACAAACCAAGGCTTTAATCCACTAGGTTATTGTCTATCAAGAGCCTGTCTGGTAAATCTATAGGAAATTTTTGGGTGGTGGGGGGGTAAGAATAATTTTCACCCTAAAGTCACTCAAGGTAGAGGATGACAGAGCAAGAAGCACAATTTGTTAGGTTATGTGGGGAAGATAATGGTTAACCCAAGACTTGAACAGGTTAGGACTGTAGCGATCTTAGGAGTTGGTTATACAAAGTAGTGCTTCATGAGAAGAAGCTGCTCAAGTAGAACTTACATCTCACCAATGGAATAGGAAAGGAATGAGGGTGGTTCGCTACAATGGGTGTGGCATGCCAGATCTCAGCTGTGTAGGTTAGAATTGGTGGAATTAACGAATATAGTTTGTCTGAACACTTTCCATGGAAGGAGCAACTTGTGAAGTCTCATCTGCTTGATCATTAAACATTCACTTTTAGTTCTTCAACCAAGAAGCCGTTTTTCTCAGCTATCTTAAGGCAACACCAAATGAATGAAATCTTTACCAAATATTGACTCCTCAAGTTTGATGAGTTTACAAATAATAATTACTGGATCTGAATAAAATGTTCATTGATTGCTAAAGTTATTTCTGAAAAGGTCAGTTATAAAAAAAAAATAATTTTGTGATATTTCAAATATCAATTACAAGCTAAAGGCATTTATTGTCTGTAAAGATAAATCACTGACAAATCCAAATGCAGGGCTATTGCAAGAACCCCTCCCTGACTGATCATGCCTTCAGGGGTGGATGGCTATTGACTCTGAGACTTCATCTGCCCTTTAACAGCTCATTTTTTTGTGCCTGTTGGTGGGGGGGAGGGGAGTCAGTTCCATTGATGACAATTCTGGCTTGGAATTTAAAATTATCCGTTTCCTAAGACCTGTTGTCACTCAAGGCTATAGGACCCAATCTGTACTGTTATTTACCCAGAGTTGGGAGGGGGAGAGGAGAAGAGAAATTCATTTCCTCAAGGTATTTGCACATAAGTAAATGCAACAAACTTAACTGGAATTTGAACCTAATCACTAATGAATTCAAAAATAATTCAAAATCTTATTTTTTTTTAAATTAACTCTTGATTCATGTGCTGAATCTGAAAAATAAAAAAACAACACTATAAACTTAATTATTGATTTTGTTAAACAACTTTTTTTGTTTATATGCTAAAATATAATGTTGATTGAAAAGAAAAAACAAAAGTGAAAAAATTATTAATGTTGTTTTTCTATGTTCCATTTCCTTTCAGGACGTTAGCAATTATGGCTCTCCACAATTTCCTGTCCTTTGTAACACTTAATAAATTTTGTCTTTTTGTTATTTCTCCTAAACCTTGTTCTGTCATCCATTTACTCAATCTCATTCTTCTATATGCAGTTTCCCTTCAGGACATTGGCAATCATGGCTCCCCACAATTTCCTGTCCTTTGTAGCTCTTAATAAATTTTGTCTTTTTTTTTTTTACTTCTCGTAAACCCTTTACTGCTATCCATTTACATAAGCTTCTTAGGTACTTTATGCTTTGTTTCCCTCTGTTACTCTTACCTTCAATCTGTCCTGTGAGTATCAGCTTTTCCAAGCATTCTTTCCCCCATTATGTCCCAGAGCTTTCAACTATCTCTTTCTGATATTAAATATAAGTGTCATTTTTGTTTTCATTTTTGTTTCCATTTTCTCTAAAACTGTTGTTGTTCATATTTGTCCATGGTATTCTCAGCATCCTTCTGTAGAAGCACATATCTGTTGCTTCAAGTCTCTTCACCGATGAGGAGATAGACCAGCATTCACAGCCATATAGGAGTACACTTTTTTTTTTTCTAACAAAATTTTCATGTTTCTTAATAAGTTGCTTAGCTTTTGGAAGGCATCGCTTTCATGAAACCATTGCACCTTCAGATTTTGATGTTGCGCTTTCCATCATCTGTTAAAACAGTTCTCAGATATTTAAAATGTTGTACTTTCTCAATTTTGACATCTCCAATTTGTAATTTGCATGTTGGGTTGTTTCTTTTGTTAACAACCATGTGCATTCTGTCTTCTTGCAATTGATGTTTAGTCCTTTCTTCTTTCTTTCCTTTACCTGCTGTAGTAGTTCTTATAGTTTCATTTCCATGTCTGCTATCAACACTGTGTCATCTGTATATCTTATATTTTTAAGATTATGGCTGCCAATAATGAATCCTAGTAGGAGGTATCGTGGAGTAGTGGATAGTGGCTCAGATTGAGGAATCAGAGAGCCGAGTTCAAATTCCAATGGAATACATTACATTCACTTACGTGCTAATAGCCTTGGGAATGGTATGAATCTTCTCTCCCCCCCCCAGTAAATAGCAGGACAGACCAGGTTCTATAGCCTTGAATGGCAACTGGTCTACTGCAGACAGAAATGGCAACCTACTGTGGGAAAAAAATCTTCATCAGTCATGTATCAAAAGATACATGATCACCTAAGCATGTATCATGAATGGTACATGACTGTCTGACGGAGTATGACTTAATTCTCTATGAACCCCCCATCACTATATCAGTCGAATAATTCAGGTGAGAAGACACATCGTTGTCCCATTTCTATTTTTGTATATTTACCAAATTTATTTTCTATCTTTATGCAGGTGGCTTCTCAGTACAAATTCTAATATCCTTCCCAAATAAATGAATTGATTTACAAAAGAAAAAATGAGTTACATTCTAAATGCGCAATTAAAATTTTCAAAAATATTTCCATCATTGCAATTAAGCAAGCCAATAGTCACAGCTGAATTATTACATCCACCAATGCAGTTGGACAGAGATCACATATTCACCGAGGCTGGCCTGTCTGTATTTGAGGTCTCTTATAAATAATTATAACAAGATTTTGTTATGATAATCTGGGATTTGTAACCTCATTCCTCGGTTATTTATGACAAATGTCACACAGTGGAGGTCATGGCTTGGTTATTCATGACACAGGTATTGGTGGAGGTCGGCAGTCACTGAACACTTTTTGATTTGTAATTATTATTATTATAATATTAATTTTTTTTTTTTTTTATTACAAAATAGAAAACAGTAAAAAAAAAAAAAAAAAAAAAAAAAAAAAAATATGGCTGTTGAAAGTTGTTGGCTGGATTGTGCACAATTATCTTTGAAATTTGCCACAAATATGCAAACAAAGAAAACAAAGAGAATATGTATGGCAAAACAATAATTGACTTGATGTTCATGTGAGAAGAGAGAGAGATGCTAGAGAGAGAGAGGGAGACGCTAGAGAGAGAGAGGGAGATGCTAGAGAGAGAGGGAGATGCTAGAGAGAGAGAGAGAGACGATAGAGAGAGAGAGAGAGAGAGAGAGAGAGAGAGAGAGACGATAGAGAGAGAGAGAGACGATAGAGAGAGAGAGAGACGATAGAGAGAGAGAGAGAGAGAGACGATAGAGAGGGGAAGAGAGAGAGAGAGGGGGGACAAGAGAGAGAGAAGGGGAGAGAGGAGAGAGGGGGAGACGAGAGAGAGAGAGTGGGAGACGATAGAGAGAGAGAGAGAGACGAGAGGGAGAGAGAGAGAGGGGAGAGAGAGAGGAGACGAGAGAGAGAGAGAGAAGGAGACGAGAGAGAGAGGGAGACGCTAGAGAGAGAGAGGAGAAGAGAGAGAGAGAGGGAGACGAGGAGAGAGAGAGAAGAGAGAGAGGGGAGACGAGAGAGAGAGAGAGAGAGAGGTGGGACGAGGAGAGAAGAGAGAGAGAGGGGAGACGCTAGAGAGAAGAGAGAGAGAGGGAGACGATGGAGAGAGAGAGAGAGAGTGTGGGAGAGAGAGAGAGAGAGAGAGTGGGGAGACGATAGGAGAGAAGAGAGAGAGAGAGAGAGTGTGGGAGAGAGAGAGAGTGTGGGAGACGATAGAGAGAGTGTGGGAGACGATAGAGAGAGTGTGGGAGACGATAGAGAGAGTGTGGGAGACGATAGAGAGAGTGGGAGACGATAGAGAGAGGTGGGGAGACGATAGAGAGAGGGGGAGACGATAGAGAGAGTGGGACGAGAGAGAGGGGGGAGAGATAGAGAGTGGGAGACGATAGAGAGTGGGGAGACGATAGAGGGTGGGAGATGATAGAGAGTGTGGGAGGCGATAGAGAGAGTGTGGGAGACGATAGAGAGAGTGTGGGAGACGATAGAGAGAGTGTGGGAGACGATAGAGAGAGTGTGGGAGACGATAGAGAGAGTGTGGGAGACGAGAGAGAGAGTGTGGGAGACGATAGAGAGAGGGGGAGACGAGAGAGAGGGGGAGACGAGAGAGAGAGTGGGGAGACGAGAGAGAGAGTGGGGGAGACGAGAGAGAGAGAGGGGGAGACGGGGAGAGAAGAGAGAGAGAGAGGGGGAGACGATAGAGAGAGAGAGAGAGAGACGAGACGATAGAGAGAGAGAGAGAGGGAGACGATAGAGAGAAGAGAGAGAGGGGGAGACGATAGAGAGAAGAGAGAGAGGGAGAGATAGAGAGAAGAGAGAGAGGGGGAGATAGAGAGAAGAGAGAGAGGAGACTAGGAGAGAAGAGAGAGAGGGGGAGACGATAGAGAGAAGAGAGAGAGGGGGAGACGATAGAGAGAAGAGAGAGAGGGAGACGATAGAGAGAAGAGAGAGAGAGGGGAGACGAGAGAGAAGAGAGAGAGGGGAGACGATAGAGAAGAGAGAGAGAGAGACGATAGAGAGAAGAGAGAGAGGGGGAGATGATAGATAGAGAGAGAGAGAGGGAGATGATAGAGAGAAGAGAGAGAGGGGAGATGATAGAGAGAGAGAGAGAGGGAGACGATAGAGAGAAGAGAGAGAGTGGGAGATGATAGAGAGAAGAGAGAGGTGGGGAGACGATAGAGAGAAGAGAGAGAGTGGGAGACGATAGAGAGAAGAGAGAGAGTGGGAGACGATAGAGAGAAGAGAGAGAGGTGGTGGGGACGATAGAGAGAAGAGAGAGAGTGTGGGAGACGATAGAGAGAAGAGAGAGAGTGTGGGAGACGATAGAGAGAAGAGAGAGAGTGTGGGAGACGATAGAGAGAAGAGAGAGAGTGTGGGAGACGATAGAGAGAAGAGAGAGAGTGTGGGAGAGGCGATAGAGAGTGTGAGACGATAGAGAGTGGGAGACAAGATGAGAGAGAGAGCGGGAGACAAGATGAGAGAGAGAGAAAAAAGAAACAAAGTGTTTGTAATGAAAAAATAAACAACACGCAATTGTAATTTTAGTAGGCATGCCCATCTAATTTGCATAATTGCACTCAATACACAAAGTAACAAAGTAAACATTCACTAACATATCTTTTTTTTTTTAATGTACAGAGGGTGTTGAAAAAAAAAAAAAATACAGCAGAGGAAGAAATCAAGAAAGGATTCCAAAATAAATTGTGATTCAAGGACACTGCAAAGGGACAAAAACTTGAAGAGTTCTATTACTAAGGTGAATTAACTGCAACTGATATATCCAAAGATATGGCATGTAGAATTCGAACAATCTACCCCCATGGACTAAATAAAGGGCTTGATTTGAAATTCCAATGGACATAACTTGAAGAAAGCTGGTGTGTACAATGGTTGAGACGTGAATATAGCAATAAAGATGTGGACAACAGTCCAAACAATGTAAATAACATAAATAGTTCCTATCCTTTGTAGCAATTTGTCGTCTTTTCCTTCCCCACTCCATTTTACCATTCATTTACACAAGCTTGTTGTGTAGGTTACTGGCTGTGTTCCTCTTGTCTTCAATATATCCTGTGAGTTTTAAATTCTCCAAAACTTCCCCCCCTCATTATGTGTCCCAGACATTTCAATTGTTTCTTTCAAGATTCAAAGCACAAGTGTCCTTTTTGTTTGTATTTTCCTTAAAACTTCCTCATTGCTCACATATCACCTCCATAGTATTCTCAACATCTTTCTGTAGAACCACATCTCTTCCCTCAAGTCTCCTCCATCTGTGAGGAAATTATCTATCAATCACTGCCAAATAAAAGGATTGATATTACATTGCAGTTCAATACTTTTTTTTGCTTTTGTTTATAATGAAATTTTCCTATCAATACTTTTCTGAGCTTTTGGAAGGCATCTTTTTGCTAAAATCAAATGTAAGCATCTGATAAAGAAGAGAAAGAGAAAGATCTAAATTTGGGGGAAAAGAGCAGGAGACAGAATCAAAGATAAAATGCAAACAGATAAAGAGTTTTCCTGTTTGTTGTAGTCAGTTGGTCAAAAACAGTTTTTTTTAATCAGTAGAGAGTGTCTAATTTTAATTACATTAAAAAAAAAAAAAAAAAAAAAAAAAAAAAAAAAAAAAATTTATTCTGATTCTATCATGACAGTATACATATGAAAAAAAAAAAAAAAAAATCTGTCATAAAAAAAGTTATAACATTTATATTCAGTCAAAAAATGTTTCCCTTGCCTTCCTTTAAGCAAATAGTAGATTCTATCAGGAGAGATTCCATTTTTTAGGAATTTTTTTATCTTGGTCTTGTTACAATCAATGAACAGACATGGAGCAGTGGATAAAGCTGAACTAGTGACAGGTAAAGAGAATAGTTCTGTGGGTAGAAAAACATCCAAAACGGCAACAAATAATTGGTTGGTATTTCACACTTGTAGCTGGAAGGAAAATATTTTTTAAAAAATCACTGGCCAAGTTTCTTGCCCTAAAAAGAGTTTTTTCCCCCCTGTTCCATTCAAAGAAATCTTGTACAATAAAAGATGTTGCAAATCCAAGAAAATTCTCTTGGGAAGAAGTTTTCTTTGGTAGATTCTGTTTCTGTTTGGATTCATTACATTTTTCATCCCCCGTGATTATGAGCAGTCCACCAATGATGATGAAATCAAAGAGTTAACTCATATAGGGCTAAGAAAGTAGCCAAGAAACCTCTAGAGGACAGCTATCCAGGCCTTTCAATTGAAAGGTGCAATATGGGAAAGGAGACAATTTAGAGGAAGACATTTGAAACATTGATAATTTTCTGTCAGATGTGTGTGCAGTTACTATTAAATTGGTTCTATCTCAAACATCTGTCTATATCTCTGGGATGAGGTATTATGATTACTTACATTATTTACATTATTTGGACTGTTATCCTCATCTTCATTGTCATATTCATGACATTTTGGCCGTTGTACACTGACCTTCTTTAGGTGATTAGAATTTTTTTGTCCACCAGGGCAGATTGTTCTACTTCCACATACCATGCCTCTTCCAGATGTCTAAGTTATTTCCCTTTGACTCAACTCTCCAAGTTTGGTTCACCACTGCTGTGACCTGCTATTGAACTCACAACTCTTTGGGTCTAGTCATTGGATCTAACCAAAGTCATTATCTACTGGGACATGTGGACAAAATAAAGCGTTCGATTCAAAATTCTAATAACCTGAAGAAGGCCAGACAAAATGTAAATATGGCCATTTGAGAAATGTTAATATGGCATTGAAGATGAGGATAACAATCCGAATAATGTAAGCAAGCTAAATAAACATAGCACTAATTTCTGACTGATCCTCTCATGTTTCTTAGTACCATAAACAGTGTATTTAGTGGATATACTTGTTTGAATGTACATAAGTTTCTCTATTTTTTTTTTTTTTAGATTTCTGTCTCTTCACATACAGATACTAAATTAATATTTTAAAGGAAAAATAAAGAAAGAAGGAAAAATAAAGAAAGAAGGAAAAAGAAGGAAAAATAAAGAAAGAAGGAAAAAGAAGGAAAAAGAAAGGAAAAAAAAAGAAAGGAAAAAAAAGAAAGAAGGAAAAAAAAGAAAGGAGGAAAAAAAGAAAGGAGGAAAAAAGAAAGGAGGAAAAAAGAAAGGAGGAAAAAAAGAAAGGAGGAAAAAAAGAAAGGAGGAAAAAAAAAGGAGGAAAAAAAAAGGAGGAAAAAAAAAGGAAAAAAAAAAAGGAAAAAAAAAAAAAAAGGAAAAAAGAAGAAAAAAAAAAAAAAAAAAAAAAAAAGAAAAAAAAAAAAGAAGGAAAAAAAAAAAGAAGGAAAAAAAAGAAAAAAAAAAAAAGAAAGAAAAAAAAAAGAAAGAAGGAAAAAAAAAGGAGGAAAAAAAAAAAAGGAGGAAAAAAAAAGGAGGGAAAAAAAAAAAAGGAGGAAAAAAGAAAGGAGGAAAAAAGAAAGGAGGAAAAAAGAAAGGAGGAAAAAAAAAGGGAGGAAAAAAGAAAGGAGGAAAAAAAAGAAAGGAGGAAAAAAAAGAAAGGAGGAAAAAAAAGAAAGGAGGAAAAAAAAGAAAGGAGGAAAAAAAAGAAAGGAGGAAAAAAAAGAAAGGAGGAAAAAAAAGAAAGGAGGAAAAAAAAAAGGAGGAAAAAAAAAAGAAAGGAAAAAAAAAAAGGAGGAAAAAAAGAAAGGAGGAAAAAAAAAAAGAAAGGAGGAAAAAAAAGAAAGGAGGAAAAAAAAGAAAGAAGGAAAAAAAAGAAAGAAGGAAAAAAAAAAGAAAGGAAGAGAAATGAGAGCCATATTGTTTGTCCAAAAGAAAATGGTGTGAGGTCAGATGCTTACCCAATTCAGCATTGATTAGAGCCACTAGCCCAGTGATTCTCAACTTCCATGATAAGGCACACTAGGTTACCACATGATCCTCTTAAATGTGCCGTGAAATATTGTCACGGTATACATGTGTGTGTGGAGGGGGGGTGTTTAAGTATTAAGGGTAAATAAAATAAAATGAACATTTTCGCATAATTATTTTCTCTATTCTTCAATTACATTATTTTAAATACTTTGTTATAATATTCATTTTTAAAAAAATAAAAGTATTTTTTTTTTTTAATTTAACTTTTTAAAATTTTCCTTTATTTGAATAAATGAATATTAAGCTTTTTTTCATATAAATGTATTCAATATTCTTTGTTTAATTCAAAATTTATAGTTTTATTTTATAACATTTAAATATATACCCTTTAGACATTTTGCTAAATGTGCCGTGATATTTTCATTTGCTCTGAGATGTGCCATTGCTTAATATGTTTGCGAAACACTGCTCTAGTACTTATCCTAAAAGAAGTAAAAGACTAATAGGACAATAATTTAAGGAATTGGAAGGTTCACCCGAGTTCTAAAAGACAGGAAATACATAGGAGAATTTCCAGCAAGCTGCAAGGCATTTATTGTAGAGTTTGGAGAGAAGAGGAGACAATTCAGGAGCCTATTTTCTTAGGATAATTGCAAGGATGACATAAAATCTGCAAGACTTGTAGAAATCTAGTTTGAAAAAAAAACCATGACTGGAGTTCTGTACATATCACCATGAGTTTATAAAGAAAAATCAAAAAACAGCAATGATATTCCTGAGGAGTCAAGAATGGATTTGGAAGAGAATTTCCAAGCTAATTATTTTGCTTTATTAGCAATTGATATATATATATATATATATATGTTAAACAAGTTCTCTAAAGAACTTTATTTTTTTCTATATTTAGGATCATTTTTCTCTTTTTTGTACATGTAATTGACTACAATCCAACTATATTACCTGTATTTTTAATCTTTAGTATATATATATATATATATATATATATATATATATATATATATATATATATGAATATGATTCCAACAATTTTTAAATAATTATATTTATGCTCTACTTTTGTATTGAGCACTATTTTTAAAAATAATAACAAAAATACTAAAGAACTTTGGATTATTTACCTAAGGAGTTCTTTCCTGTTTTCTATATATTTTCACACACACACATATATATATATATATATATATATATATATATATATATATATATATATATATTACACACACGAATATTAGCTATTTTCTTATAAAGAAATATTTGGCATTCATAGACCAAACATCCAATGCTATTTTCAATTGAAAAAAAAAAAAAAAAAATCTTTCTATTAAAACAATTTTTCAAGAAAATTGGTTTATCATCTTTTCAAGTATTGATGGTAGCTTCCTTCCTAAGCTTTTGTTTGAAGTAGTGTGTAATTTCAACATCTTGATTATACTATTATTTTCTCTTCTCAAGTCCAGTAGCTGTTATCACTCTTTCCAGTACTGACAGAGGTTTCCTTCCTCACCTTTTGTTTGAAGTAGTGTGAAATGTCAACATCTTGATTATGTCATTATTTCCTTTTGAGAGACATGTGCTAACAATTTTACTTGCTACTGCTGTTGAAAGTTCTCAAATGATGTGTTTTCTGTCATTTGGTACAGTTCTTTCTGATGATGTAGCATCAGTCCATGCAGTTCAAAGAAGGATGGTCCTCACTAAAACCTACAG